TTTATAAAAAAATTATTAAACTCAATATAATCCATCACATGTATCGCTACGGGCTGAAATCAATATAATCTGTCACTATCTTAATGTTTTTTTTTAAATTATTATTTTAAAGTTTTGTTAAAAGTTATGATATGTTTTTATTGGTTATCAAAATTATATTTATATTAATAAAATTAATCAATTTAATTTAGATTAACTTGCTCATAAATTAGTTGAAAATTCAAGTTAGATGAAAAGTTAAGTCGCAAGGTTTAAATATTAATCTATTAAACCATATTTGATGACACAATTATAAAAATTCCCTATATTTTTAATATTTAAAAATATTTATCTAACCTGCAGTGAAAGGATGCCAACTAACTAACCAGTACATAACGAAACCACGTAAAATCACAACATTGCATAGTTGTTTCTTCTTGTTCTTCTTCTCCATTTATTCTGTGTGATCTTAACAATGTTGACCTCTTCAAATCTCAAAATGTTGTTTTGCCAAATTTCTCTCTCTCTCGAAACGTGCCTTTACGATTAGTGTTTCCCTGGTCATTGAAAATGATTTTTTTTCTTGGAAAATAAAGGAAAAGGACAGGTTACCTCTAGAAATATAATATTTCATAAAAAAAAAAAAAGGGAAGCACTGGACAGTGAAGTCAAGGAACACCCGATGCTTGCCGGTGCGTGCATTTGCACATTTTATCTTACAGGAGAAGCTATATAAACGTAGTCAAATATGAACTTGCACTTGTGGTTTAAAAAGGGACACGTTTTATGTTAGGTGGCATGAGAAATTGAAACTAGAAAATACTCGATTTTCATGTTGGAATTTGTATAGGAGATGTTTTTGTATTTTAAAAATATCTTTAAAAAATTTAAAAAAAAATTATTTTTTATTTATTTTAAATTATTTTAATATACTGATATTAAAAATAATTTTTAAAAAATTAAAAAATCATTAATATATATTTTAATAAAAAAAATTATTTAAAAAATCATCATAACCATATTTCTAAACAATTCAACTAACATTAGACCCTTGCCACGATGGTTCCCGCCATCCCACCGAGAGAAGGTGTTCCATCTCTCAAAAATAGGATAGTTTTTTAGGCTAATTTCCATATCAATGGATACTAAATCTCTTTTAAAACAATTTTAATGGTACATTTTTTACATAAACCTAAAATAATGCTTAAAAAATAGCTCTAATTAACTTTCTTGATCATATACAGCCTAACCCTTCGAATGTTTTCCATCCGAACACATACGTACTGCCTGTTCTCTCTTTTTGACCCCCTAGAAGAATAGTTCAAGATAGAGAGGGGAAAAAAGGGCCCGAGAGTTGCCGCGATTCGGGAAAATGGCGAGTTGCCGGATTCTTTCTGCTATCTCATGGGAGGACCCTAGAAGCTGTCAACTTTTGACTTTGACTTTGACTTTCTACTTATAATTACCATGGGCTCTTGCTGTTGATTACATAACAGTAATACACTCCTTTACCATTTGATTTGTTGCCCACTTTTGTTTTTTCAATGTTCAAGAGACGCTAAAATGTGTATATAATAATTCATATCAACAAGCGTTATTATTTGTTCTGAATGTATTACGTCGCTTGTTTACAATTAGACAAGACGAAATCTAGTTTTGATGTACGAAATTAATAGGTTTTCGTAGTATTTATTTTTTTAATTGAAAATATAAAAAATAATATTTTTTAAAAATTTATTTTTGATATTACCTTATTAATATAATTTTAAAATATAAAAAATTAATTTTTATTTTATTTTAAAAATACATGTCCATATTAAAAAAAACCAATAAAAAAACACAAGCCTTCTCTTATGACCACTAGCCCTCACACTGTAGGCACAACAATGCAATTGTGCTTTATCACCGAGCTAATTAAGTAATAAGCTAAAGAATATGAAGAATTCATTATTTATCTACATCCAATGCACTCTAAATTACAATAGCTGGAGAATTCACTGTTGATTCACACTTAGTATATTATGAATTACAAATAATTCATAGTGTATTTTTTTTTAATTTTTTTCATATTTTTTTCATAGCTTTCCCCTCTCTTCTTTTTTTTTGTTTATTTTTTTTCCAAAATCACTTTCCTTTTTTTCCAACTTTCCCTTTTGTTTTTTTTTTCAAAATTATTTTTATAATTTTTTTTTAATATTTACCTGATTAAAAAATTTTACTTTGTAATTTTTTTTTAAAAATACTATGGATTGCTATGATATTTTCCCGCATGGTTTTTCTATTTTATTTTTTTATTTTTCAAAATTATATATTTTTTATTTTGATTGATAATTTAGTTTTGTAATTTTTTTCTTTAAAACATTGTTGATTGTTATAGTGTTTTTTTATATGTTTTTTAATGATTTTATCTAAAATTATCTTTTTTGATTTTTTTGTAATAATTTTTTTTTCAAAATTATCTTTATCAATTTTATTTTTTTTAATATTGAGCTGATTAGAATTTAACTTTATAATAAAACTTAATCATGTTGGGAAAACATTTTAGCTCTCCTTACAAAACACTGTAGATTGCTAGAGTGTTTCTTAACATTAATTTTTTTTAATGATTTTTTCAATATTATCTTTGTTAATTTTATTTTTTTTAATATTAAACTAGTTGAAAATTATAATTACAAGTCATTACAAATAAGATTAAAGCATGAGGGGAAGTATTATAGCTTTCATCACAAAACACTGTGAATTGCTACAGTGTTTCCAACATGGCTTTTTTTGTGTTTTTTTGTAAAAAATTATCTGTCAATTTTAATTTTTTAATATTGAACTTATTCAGAATTTAACTTTATAATTTTTTTAAAATTAACACTGTGAATTGTTGCAGTGTTTTCCATATGATTTTTTTCAAAATTATATTTGTTGATTTTTTTTTAATATTGAGTCGATTAAAAATTATAATTACAATAAAGCTAAATTATATGGGAAAAAAGTTGAAGCTTTTCTCACAAAAAACTGTGAATTGATACAGTATTTCTCTAAATGGTTTTTGTTTTCTAAAATTATCTTTATCGATTTTATTAAAGAAAGTACTATAGTTTTTCTCATAAAACATTATCAATTGCTACAATGTTTTTTCTCATGAGTTTTTTTCCTTCAAATATTATCTTTGTTGGATTTTTTTTAATATTAAGTTGATAGATAATTTAGCTTATAATTTTTTTTATTTTTTATTAACAGAAAAGCTAAATCATGTGGCGAAAGCACTATATCTTTCCTCACAAAATACCGTGAATTATTACAAATCATTTTATTTAATTTCCAAATTTTTAATTACTAACATAACTCTTTTTTTTTTCATCATGAAATATTTACTCTATCATATTTTTATTTTTTTATTATTTATTCATCACTAGTTCACAACACCATCAAATATTTTTTTTTTATAAGCGCGCGGCATGCTATTTAATAAAACCTATTGTGCGGGCTTCATGTTGCAGCCTTGTTATGCCAAAAGAGAGAGAAACCCTGAACTCAAAGATACTTTTATTGTTAAGATAAAACAAAACAAAATATTACTTATTAGCATTGATTAGTTTTGGTGTCCGTGATGAAAAATCTAAAATGCACATTCAAATGCAAATTCAAAGTTTGATCACCTAATCAATAAAACTAATCAATTGATTATTATATATATTAATAAATAAAAATAAACAATTATTAATAATAAATAAAGACAAAAAAAATTACATGATGTGTCATGCCATTTAACATATTTATTTAACCAAATGTCAATGTTCTTTTTGAAAAAAATAAAAATACAATATGAAGTGAAAAAACTAACTTATTAACATAATTTATATACTTTTAATTTATTCAGCTTTGCATCATGTTGTGGTTCCTTGTATGGTTTAGGTTTTAACTACAATTTAATATAATTATATTAAAGTTAGCTCAGCGTGGCTCGTATGACCAAACTAAATCACATGCGACATGGTTTTTTTGTTAAAAACTCAATATGGCTTCTAAAAATCTGTAAGGTCACTGTTGTTCTAACATTTACCTAACTTAATTAAGTGAAATTGTGCCGTCAAAGGATAAAATAAAACAAAAAATTAAGGATTGAAACAAAAAAACAATGATATACTAGATCAATTCTAATTAACCTAGATTAAAACTATTAAATTCATAACTCGAGTCATGAACATAATAAGCCATCCTAATTTAGTAATTTGTCCAATTCATTTCTCTTTCCATCTTTTCTTCTTAGTTGGTTCTCAATCAGCCTCAAGTTGGATGAAGTTTGAGACTAAATTGAAGAATCATTTCAAAATTAGAGACCATAATCAAGAAATTAAGAGCTATCAAAGAATTAGGACCAAATAATTTTTCTTACAACTATATAAATAGTTTTAATGTTACAACTATAATTTGTAGCATAGCTTAATGATAAAATTGATATAAAATTAATTTGGATATAAAATTATTGGTATTATATATAATATTTATACTAAAAAAACCTAATATCTATATCGTGGAGCTGAAACTAATAAAGAAAAAAAATTATATCTCAAAACTTTCTTTACCCCAGTATTTGCCTTGGCCAAGAAATTTATCCTTTTTTAGTTAAAAAGGTAAGAGATTTAATTAAAATCTTTTAAACGGGTTGCAAGATAAATGAGTTGTCTATGATAAACCTTAAAGAACACAAATACAAGTTTTTGTTAAACTTTAGCGATCATGATGAATCCCATGTGCTTATTTATTTATTTTTATTATTTTTAAATTATTTTAATATATTGATATAAAAAATTATTTTAAAAAATAAAAAATTATTATTTAAATAAATTTTTTAAAAAAATATATTTTATAAAATGACAATAATTATACCTCTAAACACCCTCAACCTCGAAAGGACATGCAAGGGGTGTTTGATTGAATCAAACGGTCAACAAAGAAAAGTACTCAGCTTAGCTTAAGACAATTAATCAGTGACCAAGTAGCGAAGCAGAGAAACAATCAACGCGGTCAATTTTGGTATTCATTCAAGTCTTCGCTCTCTGAGAAGCATTCTCTAGAACAGGAACAACAAAGAAAATACTTGTGGTATCTTTAGCTAGCTATAAATACCACAAGTTCTCCAACCATACCAAGGCAGAAAATCCTAAATAAATTATATTAAGCTCCCACTTCAGAGTTTCTGGTGTCTGTTCTCAATCCCAAACCATGGTGCTCGCAAAAATTGCTTCGCAGTCCGATGTCTCTGTGCACTCTACGTTCGCCTCTCGCTACGTCCGAGAGTCCCTTCCAAGGTACATAGGGCACAATTTGTTGCTATTTATATATATAATTGTGCGAGCTAGAATGTATAGTATGTTGATATATGCTGGACGTGGAAATATTATGATATGTGCAGGTACAAGATGCCGGAGAACTCGATACCAAAGGAGGCAGCGTTCCAGATCATAAACGATGAGCTGATGCTTGATGGGAACCCAAGGCTGAACCTGGCATCTTTTGTCACTACTTGGATGGAGCCTGAATGTGATAAGCTTATTATGGACTCCATCAACAAAAACTATGTTGACATGGACGAGTACCCTGTTACCACTGAGCTTCAGGTCTCCCAACTCTCTTTCTAAAAATCAACATATATGTATTTGGTGTTTTCATGAGCTTTGTACAGATTTCTTTTCCATCAGGAAGGATTATAAAGTTCATGCATGCTATGCATTATTTCCCTCTCTGAGAATAAAATTAGTACTAAGAAAACAGTGTTTTTTAATTATTATTTTTTGGGAGGTACATTTTCGTTTGCCTTAAGGAAACGATGCACGCGAGTTTGTTTTCGATTTTTTTTTTCGTTTTCTTGGACTATTGAGTCAGAAAGATGAGACTTGACTTTTCAGCTGAAGGAGTTCCCAGTCGTATGGTGCTTAGTTTGGTCAATATCGTATCAATTAATAGGCATAGACGCAGTCATCAGACCTGGTATTTCTACTTGCAGAAGATACGCAACTATGAGCATAGGGAGAATTTTTAACAGACCTGGTCTATTTCTGTCAAGTCAATATGTGTGTGATTTAGACAAATTGAATTAATTAATCAATTCAAACGAGTTTTTCCTTTTTATAAACAACCAACCAGACTTTTTTTTAGCTAAATTGTGGGGCTGGACAAATCAAGATATATGTGTTTAATTAGTAGTATTCATTCGATCGGCTAACACTAAATCACTTGATATTTTTTTGCAGAATCGTTGTGTGAATATTATAGCACACCTATTCAATGCTCCGTTGGGGGAATCCGAGGCTGCAGTCGGGGTCGGTACTGTAGGTTCATCGGAGGCAATAATGCTGGCAGGGCTTGCATTCAAGAGAAAGTGGCAGAATAAGCGCAAGGCCGAAGGGAAACCTTACGACAACCCTAACATTGTCACTGGTGCCAATGTCCAGGTATAAACCTTGCACCAACCCAAACATCATGTTTCTCTTTTTTTATAATAATTACTGGTAGTGAGCTAAAACAGATGATAAAAAAAAAAAATCAAAAGTTTTTGTGATAAAGAGGAGGCTTGGGCTCCCCCAATACCAAGGGCCATTATATTGGGCCGGAATAGAACATGTACTTATGAAAATAGCAGTCTATTAGCCGCCCATATAATTGGTAATCAAAGATCTTCCCTTAACGTGTAATTCAGGATTATATATCTTGACGAGAAAATGAAGTTGCTGTAGAAGGAATTTTCAGTTTTTAATTTGTGTATGTATTTATGTAGGTATGCTGGGAGAAATTTGCAAGGTACTTCGAGGTAGAACTGAAGGAGGTGAAGCTGACCGAGGACTACTACGTCATGGACCCTGTGAAAGCCGCGGAAATGGTAGATGAGAACACAATCTGTGTTGCAGCCATCTTGGGTTCTACACTCAATGGAGAATTTGAAGATGTCAAGCTCTTAAACGATCTTTTGGTTGAAAAGAACAGAATCACAGGGTACTTATCGCTAGCTCACATTAATCCTCTAGCTCATTAGGTTGAAGCAGTACCATGCATATACGAACGGTGCATAATCCTGTGTGTATAGAGTATGCAATTTGATTTCTTAATTTTATGTTTGGCAGGTGGGATACCCCTATTCATGTCGATGCAGCTAGTGGTGGATTTATTGCACCATTCCTGTGGCCGGACCTTGAATGGGATTTCAGACTCCCGTTAGTGAAGAGCATTAATGTCAGTGGCCACAAATATGGCCTTGTCTATGCTGGAGTTGGGTGGGTTATTTGGAGGAGCAAGGAAGACTTGCCAGAAGAACTCATTTTCCACATAAACTACCTTGGAACGGATCAACCCACTTTCACTCTCAACTTCTCAAAAGGTGATTAAACATTTGATTCGAATATTATTGTAAGGGATCTTAACCCCCTTAACTTGTTTAACATGGAATATATACTCATACTTTTCAATTTCAGGTTCTAGTCAAATTATTGCTCAGTACTACCAACTAATCCGCTTGGGCTATGAGGTGAGAGATCTAATAAAATAATGAATCCATCTCTCTTCCGATGCGTTATTTTCACCAGGGAAAAAAAAACTGAAATTTTCTGTTCACCAGGGGTACCGAAATGTGATGGAGAATTGCCATGAAAATGCTATGATGCTGAAAGAAGGACTGGAGAAAACAGGGCGCTTTAAGATTGTGTCAAAAGACATTGGAGTACCTCTTGTGGCCTTTTCACTCTTGGACAAAAGCTGGGGGCACGACGAGTTTGAAATCGCAGAAACGCTACGTCGCTTTGGTTGGATTGTGCCCGCCTACACCATGCCAGCAGATGCTAAGCACATAACCGTCCTTCGTGTTGTTATCAGAGAAGATTTCTCCCGCACCCTTGCTGAGCGACTTGTGCTTGACATAACGAAGGTTATGCACGAGCTTGATTCACTTCCTGCAAAACTCCCGGCTAAAGTTTCTGTCAAGAGTGAAGAGAATGGAAAGATTAATGACACCGAGGCAGGAAAGAATGGCACTACTGTGGTAAAGAAAACAGCCACTGAAACACAAAGGGAAATCACTACTTACTGGAGAAACTTTGTCACGGCCAAGAAATCCAACAGAAATAAAATTTGTTAGAGCTGCTTAGCTATAATATTGATTGAAAGAGAACCCTTCTCAAATTTTTTATTTTTTATTTTTTATTTTTTATTTTAAAATTTTTCTCATTTCAAATTTGTTTGGTCTAAATATGGAGTCCTTTTTCTAGCTTTGCATTTTTCCTCAGAGAGAGTTTGAAAACCTTGCTCTCTAACTTAACTGCATAATTGCATTAGTATTTGATCCGTCGAATTACTTCAATTTCGATTTTATGTTCTTATTGAAAAAAAATATATTGGTTATAGTTATACCATTTCTTATCGATAAATTCTGTAGTTTGTTTTGTGGACGTAAAACGCAAAAAGATGTGCTGATGACCAAGCAGGTTATGGTTATTTGCTTTTTTGTTTTGGGCTGTAGGATTGTGTGCGGTTTTCCTTGGTTGATGGAGAGTAGAGAACCTGGACCCGGAATTTTATAATAATTTTATAGAAGAGTGATAAGAATTTTTTTTAAAAATATATATATTTTTTAAAATATATTAAATTAATATTTTTAAAATTTATTTTTAATATCAGACATAAAAATAATTTAAAAATACAAAAAAATTAATTTAAATAAAATATTCCAAAAGTTTCAAAACTCGAGTCCAACCACAGGCTAGACACCTAAAAAATTGTTTTCGTTAATTAACGAAGGGAGTGATCCCGCTGAAGCACTAAAATGCACACAAGCCCGGAGAGAGCTCTAACCAGCTCAAGAAAAGAGCCTAAAAATGAAGAAATACAGATCAAGCCCAGCCCCATAAAAATAAGCCCTGAGACAGCTAGGAGAAATCAGAGATATGACAGTGCGTGACTTCATAAATCACTCATAAAGAAATGATAATTTTGTTCAAGTTTTTGGAAATAACATATTTTTAATTTTGAATTTCATTTCTTGAATATTAGCTTTTATTGTGCTCTTGCGTTGGAGCTATAGGTCTTATAATTTTATTTCACAAGTGGAATTTTAATGTTCTTTTTAATATTTTTTATATGTTAATATTAAAAATAAAAAATATCAAAAAATCATTTGAATATATTTAAAAAAACACCGTACTTCATAGACACAAACAGTTCAAGTAATAATTCTCTACACACTATTTTGCATCGGAGTGGCTAATCGAGTATCTTTATTCATGGGAAGAAGAGAAAATGCTCGAAGGAGAAAAGGAAGAAGAAGAGGGTAATCCACTTATGGAACAAAAACTCATGAGTCAACTTAAGAAGCTACTGTTTCCTAGTGGAAATGAATTAAATCATCACGTGTTGAAAGCACAGAAAACCATGTTCTTCGTCCGCGTTTCCACAACCAACCCACTATCAAGAGGCGCCTTTTTTTTAATTATTATTATTTTGTTTCCCTGTACATTTGTAGTGCCTATAAATATGAGCTTTCCTTGTACATTTGTAGTGCCTATAAATATGAGCTACATATTGGTAATACATGTAGCGAAATCCGAGTAAAATCGCGTTCTTCAAGCGTAGAAACAATGAGCTATAACATGAGAGCTTGGGTTGTGACTGTGTTGGTTGTTCTGGTAGCTTCAAATGCTTTTAAATGTGATGTTAATGCTGCCGGAGAGTGTGGGAAGACACCAGTTAGGTCAGCAGCAGCGAGCTTGAGCCCATGCTTGGGAGCGGCAGGGAATGCAAGGGCGGCTGTGCCACCAGCTTGCTGCTCCAAAGTTGCTGCCTTGATCAAGACAACTCCAAAATGTCTTTGTGCTGTTCTGTTGTCACCTTCGGCAAAGCAAGCTGGAATCAAACCAGGAATTGCCATCACCATTCCGAAGCGTTGCAGCATTAAAAACAGACAAGCTGGAAAGAAGTGTGGGAGTAAGTGATAGTATTTCCAGTTTGTTTCCATTTCTTTTTTTGCAACATGATCATCTTTCTGCCCTCCATATTTATGGCAAATAGACGCCTTACTCCTCTGTTTCAGACACCACGATCAATAAAATGCTTGTCTTTTCATCCCAATCAATAAATTTTGCCAAATAGACCGTTTGAAGAGATTTTGTTGAGTTTTTTGAAACATTGAGGGTAAGAACATTTCCTGCAAAAATACAAGGGCGGGGGTTATACTACCTTTTAATAACCCGTCTTGATTTGATTAAAAATAGTAACCCAACTGCATCTCAGCTAACCTCATGAACTAAGAGCCCAAGAATCTTAACCATAACAGGCTAACATCTACTCTTGCTGTTGTCTCTTTGCAGAGTACACGATCCCATGAGCATGACGGAAGTCCGAGCATAGACGGTAGAGAAATAGCAAACCCCACGCTAGAAGAGCAGAGTGTGTGCTACAATTAAATTCTCTTTATATAAAATCATCTATTATTGCTTTTTTTGTTTGTTATATTAAAAATGAAACCATCTTTTTCGATGAAATTGAGTCCGAGTCACACATTTTTTTTCTTTTAAAAATATATCTGCAGCTGCTGAATATCATTTCTTGTAAAAAAAAAAAAAGTAGTTTGGCTTCATAGCAAACGTTAAATTCTTCATCGGGCTCCACGTTATTCGTCTAAATTTCTTTTTAATGATAGGTTGAAGATAATAAAATTCTCAAAACACAATTCAGAATTCAATCTGACAAGTGCATAGGCTGAGGACTTATTAACATAAAACAGCCATCTTAGGAAGTTGCAAATTACATTAATAGGATCATATTCTCCTCTACCAGTGTCGGCAGTCGGTAGAATAATTATTTTTTAAGATATTGTTTTTATTTTGAAATATATTAAAATAATATATATATTTTTTAAAAAATAATATTAAAATGAGCATATCAAAACAATTTAAAATATAAAAAATAATTTTTAATAAAAATAATTTTTAATTTTTAAAAAATACAAATTGGCTCGCATTTCAAAACATTCTCTTACTTTCCATCCTAGCCCAATCTTCTAGCCTACATGATACTAAAGCCACCGATCTCAAGTCAACATTTAAGCCATTTGCTTCACCCCAACCTAACTCCATTCCTAAACAGCAATCAACTATTTTATATGTCCATTTTCATTACATTTCCATCCAAATTTACATCCATAGAGAGAAATGCAAGGAATTAATGGGCTAGCAAACATTGCCCTAATGGTAACAAAACAACCGACAACCAACAAGTTCGATGAAAACCAAAGGGCCCATGTAAGGAAACAAAAGATAACCGATTATCTGTCCATCACTTTTAGACTCTTGCGGAGAGTGGAAACTTAGCAACATCAAGCCCGGCCCATTATCACTCATTATCTTTCCATCACTTTTAGACCTTCGGCACAAAACACCATAAAAGTGGCATTCACACACCAAACGATAAAACACATAGGTTTTTCAATCCGGCCGGTTTAAGATTTGGATTTGAAATCTTAATCGGGTTACTTTCTTTAATTTAATTAATAAAAAAACAAAGTAAATGAATTGTAACTACTGAGGTCAATCGTGTTGTTTTTTTTTTTTTTTTAACTTAATTAGATTTCGATCTCGAGTTGACCTGATTTCTAATTAATTTATTGAGTTGGGTTTTCAAATTATAAAAACAATTTTTTTTAGTTGTTTAATTATAGAATATTATGGAGCTAATTTTTAAGAGAGTAAAAAAAAAAAAAATAATGATTTAGTGTGTTTTTGGTATTGTAATGTAGAATATAATTAAATAATTTTTTTATTAACATATTAAAAGTATAAACAAAAACACTAATTTAGATATTAATTTAATAATTTTTCAGATTAAAAGAGTGTTTGAAACCATGTTTTTAAAAATTTTAATTTTTTAAAATAATTTTTTATATAATTTTAAATCGTTTTGATGGGTTGATTTTAAAAATAATTTTTAAAAATAAAAAAATATTTTAATATATTTATAAATAAAAAATATTTTAAACCAGTGCCATTAGTATAATTCTAAATAACTTTAAATATTATTTTAAAAATATAAAAAATATTTAAAACAATTACCACAGTTATCATTCCAAACAACTCTAAATATAATTTAAAAAATATAAAAAATATTTTGAAGCATAATAACCACAGCAATCCCAAGCAACTCTAAAAAAATATAAAACACAGAAATCACTACCCCACCTCAAGTTCTCAATAAGCAGCTATTCACGCCTGTGGATTCCAAGAATGTATTTTGCAGTGGTCATTCGGACTTACGCTGCCGTTTGATCAAACGACAATAAAACAAAAAGGTGACAAAGTTAAAACGATTCAAATCAAATCAAATCAAATCCCATTAGAAGGGGTGGTGGGTCCCACAATGAATCAACCTGGGCCCCGCCAGGATGCCAAAGAATGGATCCTCCAGCAAATGGGCCCGGCAGCAAAACAAATTAAGTGGCGAAGACAGCTGATTTGACCCCCAGTGACAACGGTGAAGGATGTGTAAGAAAAAAGGTCCGCAAAGGGGAAACGGTTGGTAACACCAAATATCAGAACGAAGAGGTGAAATTGAAAAGGAAGGAAAAACTGGGATTTGAATTGTGTCGCTAAGCATGGGTTTGTTCTTCTTTTATCATTCCCTATCGCACAAACATTTTTGCTTTACATGCACAGAACATGAGTAACATGATATCATATGATAACCTTCGCCATTATTGGGTTTTGGCCCACCCAACATCATTCTTCCACATATACAAAAACCAGGAAAAATGATACAAAAGGGCGACCCCATTTCTCGTATCCCAAGAAACGCCACCTTTTCTCTTGCTTGCGGTTGACTGCCTGCTGCTTCCAAGATCATGCTGCTGCTTGAATAATCCATTCTCTTTTTTCTACAACCACTGCATAAATAAATAGCACCAATTCGCATCATTTTAGTGTACGGGTGGTTCATTAAGATACGAGGCCGCCACCACCCCATATGGAATGATACGTCAAAATTATTAAATCAGAGACAAAAACGCTGGCTGGTGCTGAGCTAATTCTCTCCAATTCGGCATCATTTTAGTGTACGGGTGGTTCATCAAGATACTAGGCCGCCACCACCCCATATGGAATGATATGTCAAAATTATTAAATCAGAGACAAAACACGGGCTGGTGCTGAGCTAATTCTCTCCAATTCCATGGCTTTTTATCATAGTAGTAGTACTAGTAACCTCTCTTCCCTAGGTTGGGATCTTCAAAACCTTGGAGTTCTCAACGCAGACATGTCTTTAGGTAGACCAAACCTTCATTCTAATTTTCTTTCTCTATAGTTTATCATGCTACTGTTTTTGTCCTTCAATGCTATCTTGGATAGTCTAAAACCCGCTGATGATATGAACATATTTATTTTACAGCCATGGGGAGAAGA